GCTCATCGTTTCTTATAAGGCGTTTTTGTAATTACACTCATTGTCGCACTGGAGAAAGGGGAACAATATAATTCATATGAAGGTTATTGAATATCACAATTAACCGACTTTTAAAAAAGAGGCGGTTGTCAATTCGACTGTATTTTTTGTATGTATGTTACGCGATAACTTTTGGCATAGTTGTGAACCGATTTTGATGATTCTTTTTTTGTTGGAAAGAGGGTACCTCATTAGTCACATTTAATTTTGAAGGAAATATTCCACCTCTAAGGGTGGCAAACTAGGGGATGAATCCGGTTTCCCGCACTTTCCGGTAACCGATTTCAATAAAACTTGGTAAAAAGATGTAATTTCACGAACTTTTAAAGCAATTTTATTTCATAAAAAAGATACAATTATCGAGTTCTGAGGTTTTCACGATTGTTACACATAGGAAATGAATTTTTTCGGATTTAAATCGCGTATATTTGTTTTTTCAAACAAACCGACGTTTCGGGCCCTTTACAGGTCCCATGGTCACGGTTGACGGAGGTGGTACAGTCTTCAACCAGTTATGTCTAATATTAATGCAAACCACCCTATTTTTTCACTATAGTTACAATTATTTATTACATGGTTAACAAAATATATAAATGTCAAATTACATTGAAGTAATATATGATATTATTACAAAGTTCTGTACCAGATAGTTTGTTTGAAAATACAAATACATGTTTGATATCCGACAATATGTTTCATTTCCTATGAGAAAGAATCTCTAAAACCTAAATCGATAACCAATAATAACCTTCTTGTGTAAAGCGTTCGCAGCATCTCTAGTTAGCAGTTAGTTATTTTCTTATGCATGACATAAAAATACATATAGCGCATTTAAAAAATAATAAATAATAAAGAACATCTTCATGTAATAATAAAAATATTTTTTTTTTTGTGAATTGACTCCACTAGTTAAAAAAGTTATACAAACATCGAACACGTCGCACTGCCATTACAATAGAATTGTAACTCAAAATATGTGAAATTCAAGATTATACTATTACTGAACGTAAAATTTGATTCTTTACACGTCAATTAAACGTCGTTATAATATTGTAAGAATTAATTAAAATATAATATCTACTTAACTCAAAATGAGACAAACTAAATCGAACTTTGAGAAAAACAAAATAAATCAATCAAAATAAACAAACCGTGACCATGGGACCTGTAAAGGACCCGAAACGTTGGTT